CAGCCCTGCCCCCACGAGCCCTCGAGTCCCGCCCCCAGCACCCAACTCACCCCCAGCTCCCCCAGCCCTGCCCCCTAACCCAGCCCCTGGGACTCCCAGCTCCGCCCCCGGAGCCCTGAGTCCTGCCCCCGGCCCCGCCCCAGAGTCCTGAGTCCTGCCCCCAGCACCCAACTCCACCCCCGGCTCCCCAGCCCTGCCCCCTACCCCAGCCCCTGGGACTCCCACCCCCACCCCACCCACCGCTCCTGCCCACAGCTCCCCTCCCCCAACTCCTTGCCCCCAGCTCCCCAGCCCAGCCCCGCCCCTGGTCTCTGGCCCCCCAGTTCCCCACTCCACCAGGAACCCCACCCCCAGGGAGTGACCCCAGCCATCCTCTGCACTCCAGGGTCCCCGAGCAACCCTGCCCCCCAAAACTCGGTTGTCCCTCGGCTCCTCTCCCCCCCCCGACTAACTCCTCCCCCCCCCCAGTGAAGGACAAGGAGGATACGCAGGTCGACTCTGAAGCCCGACCCATGAAGGACGAAACGTTTGGGGAGTACAGGTGGGTGGGGGGCAGGATGGGGGGAGGGGAAGGGGCTGGGTGGGGGGGTTATGGGGGTGGGAGGGGCAGGGCAGAGGGGTTTCCACCTCACCCCACACCCTGGAAGTCCCCCCATTGGGGGGAACATGGCGGGGGGCTGGAATTACCCCCTCTATTGTGGGGGGTTTGGGGTTGGATTTAGTGGTGTCTGCTTAACTTGCCTCCCACCCACTGCCCCTTCCCTGCTGCCTGGTCTGGGGGGGTCTCTGACGGTCTCTCTCCCCCTGCAAATAATGCTGCCGGCTTTGCTACCACAGATCCCTGGAGAGGTAAGAGGAGATGGGGGGGGGTGGCGGGGAGCCCAGACTCCTGGGTTCAATCCTCCATTGCCATGTGCTCCCGGTTCCCTTGCTCTTCGGCTGGGGGGGCTGCTAACGCCGCCTGCCAAAGTTCAGGGGGTGACACTTAAGGGCCTCCCCCCATGTTTCTGGAGCTGGCAGCAGTTCCCGGGGGCACAGGTGTGTCAGAGCGGGTGTGCGGGGCCCTGGGCAACTGTACATAGGGGTGGGACAAGGATGTGCGGGGCGATGGTGTCACGGAGTATTGGGGGACTCAGGGCCCTGCACCCCCGGCTTCCTGCGATTCACCAGGACTCTCAGCCAGCCAGTAAAGCAGAAGGTTTATTTAGATGACAGGGACACAGTCCAAGACAGGTCTTGCAGGCACAGACAACAGGATCCCCCCCCCAGTTAGGTCCATCTTGGGGTCCCCGGGCGCCCCAGCCCCCTTGGGAGCTCAGAGCCCCGTCTGCCTCCCAGCCATATCACCAGCCAGCTCCTGAAACCCTCCCTTCAGCGACCCCTCCCACACCCTTTGTTCAGTTTCCCGGGCCAAGGTGTCACCTGGCCTCCAACCCCTTCCTGGGTTCTCCTGTTACATGCTCAGGTATTCTCCGTGGGTCAGTCTCCCATCCCCCAGTGCAGACCATCCTAGCCACACTCCCCTGTCAGCATTCCCAGACCACAGTAAGAACAGTCCCAGTTCGTCACAGATGGTAGCCGGGGATGGTTGTGCACTGGTGATGGTGCACGGAGGCGGTTGTGCATGGGGCGGTGGTAGTGGGGGCAATGGTAGCTGGGGGCAATGGTGCATGGAGATGGTTGTGCATCAGGCAGTAGTACCCAGGTATGGTTGTGCACTGGTGATGGTGCGCAGGGGCAATGGTGCACGGAGGCAGTTGTGTGCGGGGCAGCAGTAGCCGGGGACAGTTGTGCACTGGTGATGGTGCATGGGGGCGATGGTGCACGGAGGGGGTTGTGCGCGGGGCAGCGGTAGCCGGGGACAGTTGTGCACTGGTGATGGTGCGTGGGGGCGATGGTGCACGGAGGCGGTTGTGCATGGGGCGGGGGTAGCCGGGAACGGTTGTGCACTGGTGATGGTGTTATGCTTACAAGAAGCACATGGGATCTTTTCAGGGAAAAGGCAACACACCGCATTTATTGAAAACGGTGATGGTTGGGGGCGGTGGTAGCCGGGGATGATGGTGCGTGGGGTGGTGGTAGCTGGGGTTGGTTGTGCACTGGTGATGGTGCGTGGGGGCGATGGTAGTTGGGAGTGATGGTGCACAGGGTTGATGGTGCGCGGGATGGTGGTAGTTGGGGGCGATGGTGCACAAGGGCGATGGTGCACGGGACGGTGGTGTGTGTCTGTGGCCCAGGTGACCGGGCGGGCGGGTCCTTCTCTTGCACTCACCCTGTGGCCTGGTGCGGGAGGCTCTTTCACACCCGCTCACACTCAGCACCCTCCTGACGCATGTAAACAACCCCTGCTTGTGCACAGCCCCAGGTGCCCCTTGCATGATCCCCGTGCCTCAGCCCTCGCACTGCTCCCACCTAGGTCTGTGTGCACCAACACATTGACGTGAGGTGTCATATCCCCCCCCGTGCCACCTGCACACTTGTATCAGGTTGTCGCACGCTCTCCCAGCACATGCTTGTGCACCTGCACACCCACATCCTCCTGGCCTGGTGCACACTCACCCCCACTGCTGACCAAGCTCCTTGCACACCCACTTCTGCACACTCACCTTTGCACACTTTGCACACCCAGTTTCCTGCACTGCAGACCCACTCACCTTGCACACTCACCAGTCACTTCCCTGGCACCAGGTGCACACACCCACCTTGCACATGCCTTGCCCGTGCACCTTGCACACTCACCCATCACTTCCCTGTGCATCTTGCACAATCACTCCTTGCAGGCTCGCACGCCTGCACCATGACGTTCTCCCTCCGCCTTGCACACTTCCCGCCCTGTGTCTCGTGCCCCTTGTGCAGCCCCCCCTCACCCTGCTCTCTGCCCCGGCAGCGACAACGAGGAGAAGCCGTTCGGCAGCAGCCAACCCTCGCTCAACGGGGCACTGCCGGCACTGGGCAGCGAGGACAGCCTGGCCGACTACGGGGGCAGCGTCGACGTGCAGTTCAATGAGGACGGGTCCTTCATCGGCCAGTACAGCGGCCACACGGGCAAGGAGCCGGCCGGCAACGACAGCTCGGGGGCCACCAGCCCCACCAACGCCACGGCCGCCCTGGAGTAGGGGGGACGTGCCCCCCAGCCGGCCAAGCCCCCCTGGGGACTAGGGGAGCCCCTTCCTGCCCCAGGGGAATTGGGGGCTGGGGTTGGCCCCCAGCTGGGACATAGGGGACCCCCTTCCTGCCCCAGGGGAATTGGGGGTTCATGTACCCCTACCTCCTCCCCCATCTGTTAGCTCCCCCCTCCTGCCTCAGAAGAGGAGGGGGGTAATTTAAGGGAATCCCTCCTTAGCCCCCCCAGAATGTCCCCACCTCCCCAAAGCATCATTTATCTTCTGCATGTGATGGGCCAAAAAGCTTGGGGGAGGCGAGGGGTTAATGGGGGGGCTCTGTACCCAGGGTTAATATTTGCCAAAAAATAGACCCCTCCCCAAGTATCTCCATGTTTTAATCATTCTGGGCTCAGCCTCTGCCCCACCCCTGGGCGTGCGACCGAGCAGCCGGGGGTGGGGCGCTGGGAGCCCGGACTCCTGGGTTCCATCCCTAGCCCTTTCCCGGCTTCCTTTCAGTTGGGGGAGGAGGATTGAACATTTTCCCCTAATTCTGCCCCTCCCCCTGCCCTGGGAGGGGGCTGTTCAAACCTCACCTGCATCCTGGGATTCTCCTGCCCCTCCCTCACCAACGCTGGGAGCCCCCACCCCCCACAAGCTCCCCCAGGATCGTCCCCCTCCACAAATCCACCTCTGCCACCCACCCCCTGGACTCTCTGCGGGGGGGCCGGCGTCACCATTTCACCCCCCGTCAAAAGGGAACTGCCCCCCCGCTTTCTCACACAGCTGCCTTTGCAACCACATTTCTCAAGCCAAGTGGCCTCTTGTTCGCTCTGTGCCCCCCCCCCCCGGACTTTCCCCTCCCCCCTGTTGGGGGTCTCAGCTTCGCTCTGTGCCCCCCACAACCTTTTTTGCATAAAACAGATTTTAAAAAAACATTTAAAAAATGCCCTGGCCCCGGCTGGGTGGAGGCCTGGCCGGGGTCACCCCGTGTAGATAGGTGCACCCCCCACCCCCCCGCTCGCTGGGTCGTTGTGCTAGCCGTGGTCTGGGCCTGCTGTGTGCTGTGGGGTAGTCGTGGCTTCGCGTTCCGTATAAGACAAGAAAGGGGGGAACAAAACTTTTTTTAAAAAGTCCCCTCCCGAAATCCCGTCCCTGGGGCCGGCTAAGGCCGCGCTGCCCCCCCCGTGTCGTCCCCCGTCCCCCTCGTCAGCTGTCACTAGCGTCTCGATCGATGGCTTTTTTATATCTATACTGTACAGACCGAACCGCCTTCGAACCACGGCGGAATAAAACCTGAAAGCTGGCGGCTCCGTGTGGTGCTGGGGGGGGACTATGGGTGCATGGCCCCCACTCTGAAAAGA